GAAAACTTTCTGTACATGTAGGAAAAAAATAAAATACTATTTTTAAAAAAATAAAATTTAAATTTAAAAAAAAAAAAGACAAGAGCTGAATAGGAACTCTGAAATACAAACATAGGAGGCCAGAAAAACCTATGAGCAAATAGGAGGTGGATGAATACTTCTGATGGGGAAAAGAAACAAGTATCAATCACTGAAGAACTTTAATGTATAAAAAGAGTATTGAAAGAATTAAAAAAGAAAAAACAGAGGACTAAAGATGGAGCAGGTTTGTTCTGAGGGTTTGAAGAAGAGAAAGAGAGGGGAGGATAAAGGAAGAATATACTCATTTAGAAAGGAGAAAGATTGAACTCATATTTGAGGAATATAAGGATAAGAGTATATAAACATGGAGGATGAGGAAGGAAGGGTAGGCATCAAATAAACCTTGCACTGATCTGAAATGGAAAAAGGAAGGTTAAATACTCATGTACATTGTGCAAAAACAGAAATATATCAAACTCAACAAGGAAACAAGTAGAGAACTAGGGAGAGGTGTAGTTAAGAGAGAGGATTAACACCAGGGAGGAAACAACATCCTCCTCTCAAGATGGAAGAAGGAAGGAGACAAAAGAACTAAAATACTAGAACCTAAGGGGGGTGCAGGGAAAGAGGGTACTTTAAAATACCTTAGACAACTGGAAAATAGCTGAATAAATTTATGGTATATGAATATAATGGAATATGGAGCTTTAAGAGATGACAAAAAAGATCAGAGAATCCTAATTATTATAATTGTACAGGGTGAAAAAAACAGCCCTTTAATGGAAAAGACTTTCAAATATTTCTTTTTTTTTGCTTTTTGGTGAGGCAATCAGGGTTAAGTGACTCGCCCAGGGTCATACAGCTAGTAAGCGTCAAGTGTCTAAGGCCAAATTTGAACTCAGGTCCTCTTGACTCCAAGGCCAGAGTTCTATCCACTGTGCCACCTAGCTACTCCTCAAACATTTCTTACAAAAAGATCAGAGCCATGGTCTAGGAACTGTAAAATGCAAACAAGAGACCAGCAAAGATGAAGGAGTAGGAACACAGCCCCACGCCATTCATGTCTACTCTAATAAAGATTTAAGAACAGCCCTAGACTAAGTAGTAATCTGGAAATATAAGGAGAAACCATAATAGGTCATCTTTTTAACCTAAAATCACAATTTACACACACAGGCAAGGGTCTAGGGCAAAAACTATGGAACAGAAGCAGGTCACGATTGCAGACTCAGACCGAGTTCAAAACAGGGCCATACTAGTATTAGAGATCACAATCCTAGATATTGAACTCAGAACTGGGATGGACCACTATTGCACTGTCTTAGCCTCCATATTCAGAAAGGGATGCAGAGCTGTCTCTCTGATGCTGAGTGGGATTCACAGACAGCCCTTTACTTACAACAGCCCTACTGGTCTGGCCCCAAAGCAAGATCAAAGACTGAACTCTCAAAGTTAGAAAAAACAGACAGTATATCATGGCTCAGAACTTGCAGAGCCTTCAAGGTAGCTGACAATGTTGGAACCAGCAACTGTCAGCTAGAGCTCCACTCAGAGGTAAGTGTGAAGTTTTGTTTCGTAGGTCTAAACCAGAGTCCAGAATCTCAGAAGTCCAGGAGGTCAAAATTTAGACCACAAAGGGCCTGATGAAAGTTTGCACTTACCTAGCCCAAGCCATCAATGTCAAACTTGAAGAACATAGCACTCATAACCTGAAGAACATAACAGCAGGAACCCAGATAAGATAGCCCAGGAATATATATAAGGACATAACAATCCCTCTAGACGTGCACAGAGTGGTCCCGAGAATATCACAGTAAAAACCCAGAGTTTCCAAGTCAAAGAAAAAAATACCACAAACACCCAGAAAGAAAGAGTTCAAGAACCAATAAACCTAGTCAGGATTGTATGAGATTTAACAAGTCAATAAACCATAGTCAGGATTGTATAAGATTTAACAAGTACAACAATAAAGGAACAAAGATTATGGAATACAATATTTCAGAAGACAAAAAATACAGAAATACAGCTAAGAGTAATTTACCCAGAAAAATTAAATATAATTGTAGGGACAAAGGGAAAATGGACCTTTAATGAAATAGAGGACTTCTAAGAATTCCTGATGAAAAGACCAGAGCTACACAGAAACTTTTAAGTACAAACACAGGATTCAAGGAAACATAAAAAGGTAAATACAAGTAAATAAAATCTAAAAGGACTTTATAAGAATGAAGTGTTTATAGTCTAATGGATATATGTGCCCTTTAAGAATCATAATATAATGGGGCAGCTAGGTAGCACAGTGGATACAGCACTGGCCCTGGAGTCAAGGGGACCTGAGTTCAAATCTGGCCTCAGACACTTGACACTAGCTATGTGACTCTGGGCAAGTTACTTAACCCCACTGCCTAGCCAAAAAAAAAAAGAATTCTGGATAAGAGAGAAGTCAAATAAGACAGAAGAAGACAAATAAGAACGCAGTGGTTTTATTGTTTTGACAATCTTAAAAAAATAAAGTAAAGCAAGGGAAAAGGGATATACTAGGAAAGAAAAGGTGATTTCATTTATCATACTTAAACGGGTTTGGCAAGTAGAATCTACACAAAGGGAAAGGGCTGGGGGAGAACAGTAATCACTAGAACCTTACTTTCATCTGAAGTGGTCAAAGGAGGGTAGAAAACACACACTCACACAATCCAATGCGGAAATAAATTCAACTCAACAGGAAAATAGAAAGGAATACGGAGATGGAAGAAGTGGGAATAAGAGGGAGGAAAGATTCAGTGAGGAATTAGTCATAAGCAAAACAAATTCTTTGCTTTTTATTTTTTTGGTGAGGCAATCAGGGTTAAGTGATTTGCCCAGGGTCACATAGCTAGAGCAAAACAAATTCTTTAAGAAGAAGGAAAGAAGAAAAGAAAGAAGGAAAGGAGGGAAGGAGAGAGGAAGGAAGGAAGGAAGGAAGGAAGGAAGGAAGGAAGGAAGGAAGG